CAAGAATTTTAGAAAAAAGTATCATCTTATAGTCGGAAAAATACGGTATACTACAGCAACTGGTGGATATACCCTGGGAGATTCTAGGGAGTGGCTATCCTGGACCTCCTTTGCTTCCCAGACTCCCCCTGTGGACTGTATTGTCTCTTGTCTCCTTTCCCCTCCTGGAATCCAGCTCTTCCCTCCTCGATCTCCCACATCCCCCTCCGCCTCGTAGATACATTCCATCACATCTTGACCAGTAAGCCATACCACTGAGGGCTGCCCCAAGAGTTTGGGTTGCTTTGGGCAAGAACCTTTGAAAGCCCCCTTTCTCTCCATGAGTCTACCTTCTCACCCACATTGTTGCTAACTGATTCTCATTCTCTTTTGCATGACAGGCCTCCCCTTCTTTTTTTTTAGCATAACTTTATTTTTAAAAATTGTTTAAAAAGAACAATAAAAAGCTAACGAGAATCAGTATTAAGAGAAGACTATAGAAAGAAGAAAAAAAAGAATTTCGGAAATAAGAGATACAAAAGATTAGAAAGTGTGAGAGACAAAAAAGAGAAGGATCCGGAAGAAAAAAAAAAAGAATTGACTTCCGACCCTCCTCACAACAGATATAAGTAATAATACACATCCAACTCTTACTCTAAGTTTATTTATATATATATTACATTTCTATTATGATTCTAAATTTAAAACATTACTTCCATTGTTTCCATTAATCCATATTATTTCTAATCATCAAATCCATACAACAAAATTTCTTTTTTTCCCCCGTGTCTTGCAAAAAGTCCAAAAAAGGTTTCCAAGTAATATTAAAAGTACACAATGACAAGCCCCCCCTTCTTGATTGCCCCTGATAATAGAAGCATCTGTTGTTCCTGCTCAGTTCTACCTCTGCTGTCTAAGCTGGCAGGAGAGGTTAGCGAATGAGCATGCTGCAGTGGCAAAGAACCAAATGGAGCAGATCCAAAGGTTTCTTGTCAGCAGACCCTTCCTTGAGGCGTGGGTCCATGCTTACATCAAGCCTTAGCAATGATCCCAACGCTACTATGAACACCCAAACTGCACCAGCAGCTGTGCTTCTGTGAATAGTCTATCCTTTATGGCTGCATCGCTTTCATCCTGAAGGGATCAATAACTAAATTGGCAATATCTAAATTGGCAATGTTAACTTCATAGCTTTAGAGCATGCACAGAGTTCTCTATAGCCAAGCTACAGCACTTAGCGAAATTGCAAGAGGAAGCAACTAACCACAGATGAGCTAGCTCAGATGATAGGGAAAACTCCTCCTGAAGAGACTAAGTCTGAGGCCTGATAAGGAGGGAGGACCCAGA